AGGGTTAAGTATGTTTTTAGTCCCTATACTTTCATATGAAATTGAAAATAGTCCATCCATCATAGTTCACATAATAATGATCCCTATACTTTTGAAATGATTGAAATAGGTCCCTATTTTAAACAGCGTTAAGTATATGCTGACCTGTCTAACAGAAATGATAAGACTCATTCATTATTTGACACGTGTAATTATTAAAAAAAAATTAAATAAAATTAAAAGGTTTCAAGCTTTTAAAAGTCATTTAAATCCGTATTTATAACATTTAAAAAGAAATTTAAACTTCTATGTCATTTATAAGCCATTTAAATCTAAATTTAAAGCATTTAAAAGCCATTTATGAATGGATCTATGTCTAGATCATTCCTTTTGAATTTAAATACAATTCATCTTTAAAATGAATTAGATTTTTTATTCTTTAAAAATGGAGTGTACCATACATGTTCCTGCACATACACGTACCATTCAAATACATGTTTCTACATTGTGAAAAATTGATTCAAACAATGTACAAAAAAAACCCTAAATCATTTTAACAAAACACCCCAAATGCATGCATTAGAACATAAAATAAACATTTAGTTTCTCAAATGAAAAAACATACCTTAATTTTTGGAAATGAAAACCCTAGCTATGGTATACCGTCGTACACTACCATTGTGAACCACCGTCGCACTACCAGTCGAATCACAACGAATCGATGAAACCCTCGAACTTCAAAGCCACTTTGACTTCATACAACCTTTATAGAGAAAGGGGAAGAAAGAAAAGGTCTTTGGTATATGACGAGAAAAGAAGATAGAACGAAAAGTAGATGTGATGAGAAAAGAAGAGAGAATGAAAAGTGGTTGTGACAATAACTGAAGAGTTTTGGTGCGTGAGGAGAAAAGAAAAGCTTCTACTTTTTAATTTTGTTTTTTTTGTTTTTTTTTTAAATAATAATCTTTGTTGAATAATTTCTATTTTTTTTAAAGAAGAGCTTTACTTTTTTTTTTAAATAATTACACGTGTCAAATAATGAATGTGTCAAATAATGAATGAGTCATACTATCTCTGTTAGACATGTCACCATATATTTAACGCGGTTTAAAATAGGAACCTATTCCAATCATTTCAAAAGTATAGAGATCACTTTTATGTGAACTTTGACAGAGGGACTATTTCCAATTTCACATGAAAATACAGGGACTAAAAACATACTTAACCCTTAAATATATCATAAAGAAAAAAACTGAAGGAATAAATTAAATAAGAAAGATGAAAAATAATTTTATTATCTGACCTTTCTATCTTCTCTCCCTTTTCATACTCTCTCATAATATTTTATTAGTATTTAATTATTTCTCTAATTTCTAAGAAATATATTAAATAAGAAAGATTAAAATTAGTTCTTCATCTTTTCACACCTTTTTATATTCTCTCACTAACGGTAATATTGATTGATTAGTATTAAATTTTTACTATAGTTTGTACTTTTAAATTCATTGTTCATCTTTCTTCCTTGTCTAAGAGATCATTTTTTGCAATGCAGATTATTAAAACAAGACTGCGAAATAGAATGGAAGATGAAATTCTTGCGAGATAATATGATCATTTATATTGAAAAAGAAATAGCTGAAAACTTTAGTTCTGATTCTATTATTGATGAGTTCAAAACATTTAAAAGAACGAAGAGCATAATTTTAAATAAATATCTTATTTTTTATTTATTATTATATAATTTTTTTCATAATTTGGCCCCCGAGATCGACTGGTCAAGATTCGCCATTGGGTGGAAAGAATGTAACATTAGTTAGTTCAAATTTGATTCCATGATGTTGTTTATGCTGGAAGAGAAAAATAGTTATTACATTACATATTGTCATGACTTGGCAAATTTCTTTTCTTTTATGGTGGATATTGCGCTTCTAAGTTTGTATTTTTAACCATATTTTAGACAAAGTTGAATGGAAAACCCCTTACTCCATTAGAGTTGTTTCGCAAAACACACCAACAAAAGGATAACACATGGGTGGATGTAAATTCCTTATTTTTTCTTCATATGCTATTTGATTAAACAATTGTATCCTTTGTTATGTTTTTATCCAATTCACTACTATTTTATTTTAATGTTTATAGGCAGAGTTTAGTCGTGCATGGGAAGAAGCCTCCCAATCAGGATCTATTTTAGGAGGTTATCCGCCTAATGAATTACAAGTTTGGTGTAAAGTTGCTGGAATAAACAAAGACAAAGTATATGGGTTTGGATCTGAGTCAAACAAAACAATTGGGAGAAATCTTTGTCAGGACTTGACTTCATCATCTGTCCAACTTATGAGAGAGGAGATTCAACAATTAAACACAAGTTACAAGAAGTTGAGACTGAAAGGGATGATCTTAGTGAAAGAATGTTAACTAATGAGAAAAAAATTTAGAAAAATGATAAAATGTTGCTCCTCTTGATGGAGAAGATGGATGTTCAACCTCCTGAATTGTGAACTGATACTTCTATTCTACATATTGTATTTGTTTTGTTAGTTTCTGACATCTCCAAAATTATTAATATGCAAGAAAGTATTTAATCCATGAATGATGAATTTATTTGGAACAAAATTTGTGGTATTATTTTGATGGTTATCTTAGGTAGTGTAATTTTGATATATTTAATATAACATATAATGTATTTCATATTCCTTAATCGGGTTTATTATTATTTTAAAAATAATAATAAAAAATTAGTGACCGATATAGTGACCGATTCGATCATAGAATTGTTCACTGATTTAGTTACTGAATCGATCACTGATTCAGTTACTGAATCGATCACTGATTCAGTTACTGAATCGATCACTGATTCAGTTACTAAATCGATCACTGATTCAGTTACTGAATCGGTCACAGATTTGGTCACTGGAATCAACAACCAATAAAAGCGTGACCGATTTGAATTGATTACTATTTCGGTCATTATTTTAATTAGTGATCAATTTTAGTCATTTAGTGACCGAATTTTTGATACTATTTGCTATTTTTCTTGTAGTGATAGACTAATGATCTTGTCTATCAAAATAATTTTGAAAATCCATTTTGTCTCAAAAAATAGTTAAAATAGTTAACATGTCAATTTACTCTAACTATTTTCTATACAAACATTGCCTTCAAAAAAGCTTTTCAACCATGAAGACATATAAATTTTATGAGAACATATGCTCAAACCATTTTCATTATTTTTTCTATGAGAGAAAAAGTTTTCTTAAATTTATTCTTCCATTATTCATTCAATGTTGATATCTTCTAGTGAAAAAATTGTTTATGGTAGGCTCTATTAAGCTTTAAGCTTTGCATACATGGTATTCTTGGTCAAATGTCTTCCTTTTATTTTTTTAGTTATGCCAATTGTTGCGACCTGATTATGGTTTTTTATTAGGGTGATTAAAATTTTTATTTTTGACATCATTATTGAGTTGTTCCTTTGACCGTGAATGATTGTTAATAATGTTTTACATGTGGCTTGATAATTTTGTAGTGTACAAGATTATTAATAGCAACTTGTTTTGTAGATTATTCGCAACCAAAATTACGTCGAGATGATGAAAATATAAATTAAAAAGAAAATGATCGAAGTCGACACCAATATTGATTTAAGAAAATTACCAGAAAAAATCTTTTAAAATTAAAGAAATTCTCTACCACTGAAATATGGATCCTATTTGTTAATATAAATTATTTAAAATATTTATATAACAAAAACGTAATTTTATGTAAAAAATTAGTTTTAATATATGAATTCTTGAATCAATGAATTAGTTTTTCAGTTTATTTTTTTCATATTAATATTTATTATTTAATAATAGTTTTTATTGTCATTGTATTGAAAATTAAATAAATTTACTTGTTTTTTAAAAATAAAGATTAGTTTTTTTATTTAAAACAAAAACTAAAATAATCATTTTCCCTATATTTAATTAATTATCCTTATATTATTTTTAAATAGTAAATAAGATTGGTGTGACAGAATGAATTTATCTATCATTAACTTATTGGTAAAATAAAAGTAAATTGTTTTTATATGGTTGATACATTCAGTTGCTTCATCATAAAAATATAAATAACATCAAAATTAAAATATTTTAAAATTTCTTGAATAATTATAATTTTGAAAAAATATATGTATAAAATAACAATATGATTATGTATTGTTTATACCTAATTAGTTATTATTTTGATTTTAGATGTATTGTTAATTGTATGTTTGATTATTTGGTAGATATATAAAAGTAGTAATCACTTATATTTCTTCATCAACTAGTTCACATTTGAAGATAGATTATGTCACTTAGACCATATAATCCATTACGTTGATAAAAGTATTTATCATAAATTAGCCCAACACATTAATAAAAACTCAAATAATTAATTAAAAAGAGTTCGGACGAAATACTAATAAGTATATTTTTTAGGGACTTAAACTAAATTTTTATAATTAACTAAGAAGAAATTTTTTATTAAGTGCTCAAAACAAAAATAAATAATATATTGAAAATCTAAAACTTATTTAAACCAAAGTTTATTTACTATATCCTTATTTTACAATATTTCTAAAATGTTATAAGGATCACTTTGTAAAAAGCATTTGTAGCACTTCATTATTTAGTATTACGAAGTCCGAACTCAGAAATTATAAGCAAATTAAAATATGATTCTACCTACCTTCCTTTATTGATGCATCGCTTTCTCACATCAGACTTGAAACACTAGCAAAGAACCAACTGCATCCACTACTTACTGAAGTGCTTTTTCACTGCAAATTCTCTATATTCATTCCAAACTTCAAACACGAACAAAGCATCTAGTACTATATCTCCTTGGTTTACTCAAGAATATAATATATACAAGTAGGGTCAGAGTACTTTCTCATATAATTCAAATTTGTGGTGCGAGCAAAACTCAGCTATTCATTCACTTGCCTTGGACACCCAAAACTACCAACCAAACTAATCCTTCAATAGCATTTTCACAACATGACTGAAACAACACAAAATTCAAGCTCCCTCGCCCAGAAGTTTACCCAACTACAAAATGCAACGAAAACAACACAAAACACAATCCCAAAGATACAAAAGGTACCACATTATCTCCGAGGTCGGGAACATTTTGCCAAGCATTACTCACCCAAGTTGGTTGCAATTGGTCCAATCCATCGTAACGATTCGAATCTGGAGCTTGGACAAAAATACAAGCTTATCTGGGCAGCAATGTACCTTGAACGCACCAACCAAGATGCTAAAAATCTGTTCCAAAAGATTCTATCAAATATCGGACGATTGAAGGAACTGTTTGCTGACGATGTCATCGAAAAGCTCACTGATGAGGAGCTCTCGTGGATGCTATTTGTGGATGGATGTTCTCTCCTACAAATCTTGGACAAGGGAAAACCTCATGCGAGCCAAGAAATAAATGTTAAGATTGACCAACTGGTTCTCGTGTTGCATGATATACTGTTGCTAGAGAACCAGCTTCCCTTTGATGTTCTTAAACTCTTGTCAACACACGGGGATGATGACACACTTCTTATAAGAAGCATGAACAACTTTCTTGAGTGTAATCATCATTTGTCACCACGTAGACCAGAGATAGGACAGGGTACGACCAAGGATGAAGATAGGTATATATACCAATTTTCAGTCCCAATTTCTTACTACTTTAAGGTTTAGTTTGTATTTCTTTTCTTGCTATAAGTGTAAATACTTTAGTTCTTTACACATGATCATAAGTCTATTGCATGTTGATATGTCAAAGTTGGAAATTTACTTTACATATGTTTATAAATGTAACATATTGGTATGTCATCAAAATTCAGCCATTATGATATACTTTGAACATGTTATGATTTTAGAGAATTGGCTGAAGATGGTGGTTACGTAAGTGTTTATATAAAGAACGAAGACACCTTGCGTGGAGAACACATAAAATGTCCTTTTCATCTTCTCGACCAGCTTCGCAGACATGTCCTTGATGACACAGACCAAAGCAAAACGAATAATCAAAACACAAATGAAGACTGCATGACAACATACAGGAACATAACGGAGCTGAGAGCAGTAGGGATTAAACTGAAGTCAACAGAGTCACGCAGTCGTAGATATATCTCATTCTCTTATCGTTGGATGTGTCTGTGTGCTGAACTTATGCTTCCTGAGATCTTAGTTGATGACACAACAGCTACTACATATCTCAACCTGATAGCATATGAGACGTGTCCAGATTTTGAGAACAAATTCGAGATTTGTTCCTTTGTGGCCTTCATGGACTCGCTTATTGACCATCCTGAGGATGTGAAGGAGCTGAGAAAAGCAAAGGTTCTGCGCAATGCACTTGGGAGTGATGAGGAAGTGGCACAGCTCTTCAACACCATAAGCGCTGACTTGATGCCCAACCCTGAAATCTATTCAAAGGTTAGATGCCAAATTGAGAAGCATTATAGAAACAGATGGAGAACTTGGATTGCTCTTGGTTACCAATCTCATTTTAGTAACCCTTGGGCAATCATTGCTTTCCTTGGCGCCATTGTTGCTCTAATTCTCACTTTCATCCAAACTTGGCTTGCCATCAACCCTGTTGACTAATTCACTCGCCAAGTCATCCAGGTTCGAAATTTCTTTCATAGTCCCTACATGTGTTTCGTATTGTTTTCTAATCAAAGATTACTATTAGAATTCTAATTCTGATCAAAGACTACCATTGAAAGGTATCCAAAGAACTGTTAAATTTAAATACATCAATCTTATATTATATTCTCAATTTTAACTTGTCATTAAAAGAAATATCTTTGACCATCTACGTCAATCTTTCAAATATTCTTTTCCATTCAACCTTCTTCAAAACTCACTGTTCAGTAACCGACCACTCACTTTCTTTTCTTCTTAAAATTAAACAGTGATATACTAACAACTCATTTTTAACCTAACAACTATTCTACAATCCTCTTTAATAATTTAATAATCAAAATTTTCATTAATAATTACTATAATAATAATAATATTATTAAAATTAGATTAGATGTTTAACTGTTATAAAAATAATTTTTTTCCTTTAAATTACTACTACAAGAACTATCTTTGGTCATCTACTATTCGTAAACATAATACCTAAATATTTATCCTTTAAAATCCTACCATATTCCGTATAATTCCCAACAAAATTTATTAACCCATGACTCATACTATCCTTTCATATATTTTTTTATCGGAAAAAAATATGATTTTTTGAAACAATAGAAGATATTTTTTTTTCTTTAAGATTGTTAAAGATGGCTATATGTTAAGATTGTTAAAGATGGCTATATTGATCTTATAAACATTTATGAACACTAACAACTACTAAAAAAATATAAATTGAAAAAGAATAGGTAGGACTAAAAAACGTTACATTTTCTACAATAAACAGTAGCCATTGAATTGTTTGAAGAATAAATTTGAATAAATAGTTCCTCTAAAACCTCAATCAATTTACATAAATAGGATTCCTAGATTTGAAGAGCAATATAAATCAATGATTGAATTTATAATTAAGTTAAAAATCTTTTCATAAATATTTATATACTAATAAGTGAAGTTAGATTTTTATATGAAGTCCAATTTATTTATTTATTTTTTAACTTCATCTTTTTTTTTTAACTTTACCTATATATTTTTATATAAAAACCCAATCTATTTAATCTTTTATAAAATATTTATTTTATTATTTAAACCTAATTAAATAATTTAATTTAATTAAATCAGATAAATATTTATATTACTTTTTAAAAAAAGTGGAATGCTAGAGAAGGATCTCACAAATCTTTTCTTCTCCTTTTTGCGTCGACGGGTGTGGATTATTTACTTTCTTATTTCATAACCCTAACGTATACGTAGGTTGAGTGTGGTTTTGGGTCTTTTAGGTTAGAGTCCACTGTAATTATTTAATTTTTTCTAATCACGATTTTAATTTACAATTTTAATATAATATATTATTCTTAACATAATAAATTATTAGATTATTTGAAAAATTAAGACAACATTAATATTTTAAGTAAATATATTAAAAAATTATTTAAGATAAATTTTTAATTTAAGTAAATATGATAAAATATTTAATGGTTTTGTAAAACATCATAAATACAATATTTAATGGTTAAATATTTTTTAATTCAATTATAATTTTTTTTAATTTAATAATAGTGGTTCCAAAATATTAAGGAAATAAATGGTAAAAATTTGGTATGAATAATGTAATATTTATTTATAATAATCTTTTTAAAAATATCAATAATGACATGATTATTGTAAATTTAAATTTGACAATATTTTTAATTCAACTAATAGTGTTCTAATAATAGTTTAGGCTAGTATCATTTTATGTATTTTTATTTATTTATTTATAATTTTATGACTTTACTCGCAAGAGATTTGAACTTCTCTCATGAAAAATTCTTAAACTCAAAACAAAACTAAATAATTAATATATTAATAAACAATAACTAAATAATTAATAGATTAATATTTATTAGATAAATAGTTAATATATTAAATGAGTAGTTACTTATGTGTAATAAATTTTTCATTCATTGCAATTGCAGGGTTTTACTTTCTATACATGTTGTTGATTTTGAAGATTGATTTGGGGTGATTTTGTAAACTTTTTTGGCTAGTACTGTCTCAATCGTGCATCCAGATGCCTTCAATAAGAGACGATTTGACTTTAATATGTTTGAAAATAATTTTTTTATATCAATTTATTTAAAGGTATATAGTTATCATGTTTCTTAGTTTTCTTATCTACAAACTCTAGTTAATAAAAAGTGGTTGTTTGCTGAAATTTATGGCATATACATACATTAATGATAAGGGAAAACTATATTTAAATCGTATTTATCTCCATTGGAAGTGAGTATATGATTGTGAAACTCCGTTACTTTATACATCGATGAAAGACACTCCTTTACTTTATGTTTTGGACATGGAATTTTATAATTTTCAAGTAATAATATATTACAGATTATTATTATTATTATTTATTATTTATTTTAATTTTTTAATTTTTTAAATAGTTTTTTTTTTAAATAAAGTAATTAAAAGTTTTGGAAGTTTAATTTGTTAATTTTGAAATCATGTATTCATAATTCAAGAATATTATTATAAATTATCATAAATATCTTATAATTTATAATTCATTATAAATTATAATAGGGAAATACCAACTTTGATACATAAAAGATTCAATGAGAATATATTTTTTATTTTTTTTAATCTTTTTTTTTTGTCTTTTTTTTCTCTCTCACACTTTCTAATGGTTAACAATGAGAAAAGCTTATGCCTAGATATAAAACCTTAAATCCATTTTATTAATTAATATTGTCAAGTTGGTTATTGTCAATTTTTATTTTATTTTATTATAATTTTTTATAATAACCAATAGATCTTTATATTTATTAAATCACATTTGAATTCATCATTATATTTCACATGAGTAACCTAATTGAATTAATTTATTAATTTATAATATTTCGTGATTTAATACTTAAATAATAATGTACGAGACCTTATATAAATTGGTTGTATCATTATTCATAATTAAAAATACAAAAATAACAAAAGTCCATGATAATAACATAATTTAATCAACATGCTCCATTCATTTCTCATTAATACGACTTTACAATAAGAAGTCCATAATGAGTTCGATCATAATGTCATTTTCAATAACAACAACATAACTTGTTTTCTTCATCATAATTTGCATGTATATACATAATGAAGAAAATACAAATTTCAGAAACTTATGTATTAAAGATCTCAAAGTGTCACATAAGCATTAATAATAACATTAATATTCAATATTCACTAATAAACATAATGTCATATTCTCTACATGGTCAACAAAAAATTTAGGCGATAACCTAAAATAAAATTCCACAACCAATTAACCTGAATTGTGACCTCAAAGCATGCCACAAACTCAGATTATGTGATGGATGCAACCATGACAAACTACTTTGCACTTTTCCATGAAATCGTTCATTTGACTAAAAGATACACATAACAAAATATATAATTTCTTGTACCCATATAGTTGACAAAGTCTAAATTTGTACATCCAATCACCTCAAGGTGATCAAATTTCTTAGAAGTAAGCATGCAATTATTTGTTCCTTATAAGTATCTTCAGACTTTGTTTCCAACTATTCAATGATCTAGTCTAGGATTACTTTGGTATCTACCCAACATACCAACTGCAAAGTTAATATCTGACCTTGTACATATTTGAGAAAACATCAAACTCCAAACAAAAAATGTATAAGGGATATTTTTCATTTGTTTTTGTTCTAAATTATTCTTTGAACATTGCATGAGACTAAATTTGTTTCCTTTATATATTTGAACGGGAGATGCTGAACATATATCCATTCTGAATCTCTCTAAAACTTTATTAATATATGATTTTTGAGACAAACCTAACAACCCTTGTGATCTGTAACAAAATATTTCTATTCCTGTCACATAGTATGTCTTACCCATATCTTTCATTTCAAAGTTGTTAGAGAGAAACTTCTTAGTCTCACTTAATAGATTAACATCATTAGTCACAAACAAGATATCATCAACATACAAAATTAGAAATATAAACTTGCTCTCATTGACCTTCAGATATATACACCGATCAATAGTATTTTCCTTATATCCAAAGGACAAAATAGTATCATTGACTTAAGATACCATTGTCGAAAAACTTGTTTAAGTCTATATAATGATTTCTTAAGTTTACACACTATGTGTTCCTCTCTTTCTTCTATGAACTTGATCGACTGGTCCATATAAACATCCTCCTCTAAATCCCCATTAAGAAAGACAGTTTTAACATTCATTTGATACAACTCAAGATCATAACGAACTACTAATGACATGATAATTGTAAAAGAATATTTCTTAAAAATAGATAAAAATGTTTCTTTATAATCAATGTCATCTTTCTAAGTAAAACATTTGGAGACAAGTCAAGCCTTGTAACGTTCGATATTACTATGAGAGTCACGCTTAGTCTTAAAGACTCATTTACACCCAACACTCTTGCATCTTTCTGGAAATACCACAAGGTCTTATGCACCATTTTGTGCCATTGATTTAAGCTTTTCTTTCATAGTATTTAACCACTTAAATTATCATCATAAATGGTTTCTCAAAATGAAATTGGGTCATTATCAATACTTAAGTCATTTTCTGACTCTTGTAGATAAACCACATAATCATTCGAAATAACAAACTTTCTTCTCTTTGAGATCTTCTTAATACTATTTCTTGTGGTTGTTCTACTACCGGCTCATTGCTAATCTCAAGATCATTAATTTGTTGTTCTTCTTGATTGTTGTGTGGTTATACAACATGTGGAACAAAAACTCTTGAAGAAGAAGTACTAGTTATAGGAACTTATACTCTAACTTCCTTAATCTTCACATTTCGTGAAGTTTCACTTCCACTAGTTTCACCATTCTCAATGAACCGAACATTTCTAGTTTCAAAAATTCTTATAGTATCACTACTACAAAATATACTTTCAACGTCGCCATTTAACGTCGGTTAAAGCTGAGCCG